CAGGGAGGAAATTCACTATTAGTAGAATTAATTCAGAGTCAAACAGCCAGTTTGCATTCTTCACTTAAGACCTACCCAATGACACTTCAGCCTAACACTAGACCAGAGTTACCAACTCACTCCCCCTCAATCACAGAAGTGATATCAACCAATTCAAAGTTACAAATGGCAATGAAGTCACACTTCAAACACACCTTGATCTTGTTTCACAGCTTTGATCAAGTGACACAACACTCTTGCTTAAAAGCTTTAGAGTGACACACTTAACAGACAACTTAAGAACTCTAGACCTATACAATCATACAACAGATAATTGATTGGTTTACAAGTATTCCTAAGACACACAAAACACGTGAAGAATAGAACTCTTTACTCACAAATACACGTTCTTTAAAACACTGTCAAGAACTCCTCTCAAATAGGATTGTTGCTTCTGTATATATAGGCAGCATACAGTCCTTGGGCCTTCGTACTTAAGTTAGGTTTACCCAAGATAAACCTCTCTTCATGAAATTACGCACTTCCAATATGGTCAGGGGCATTCCATGTTATCCTAAGCAATGCCTGATATGTCTCCTGAGATAACTAGGCTTCCTAAAATGTTTCCTGAAGTATAGCCTGAGCTAATACCAGAAACTAAAACCTGCGCGCCCTGATGTCATATGCTTGATGTCATAATTTCAACATGACATCCAACTTAACTTACTCTTAGCTATCCCAACTTACCCTGCAGAGCACCCTTCATGTATGTCATAACATCAGTTATGACATTCACACATACTCCAACATTTTACCATAAAAGGCAGCCAATCAAAAGCATCTACAGGTTGAAACAATTTGATGTCAAAATTGGCCCTCAAACCGAATTAATCGGTCCAATGGACCGAATAATGGTGTTGAAAAACAAAAACAAAAATTATCAATAAAATATTTTCGCAACCCAACCCATTAATAATCGGTCCATTTTGATCATGAAATTACAAATTAGACAATAAACCCAACTTAGTGAAGTGTGAACGGGTTGGATAACATATTGAGAAACTTCTTATAACACCTTTAATAGTTCTTCTGCACCATGTAAAATTCTAGAAATACCCCCTGATTTCGGAGATATATCTCCTGACACACCCAAATGTAAGTGAACGTTAAAATATTTCAGAGATGTATCTTCGGAACATTTGGAGCATAAGTCGCGCTAGACTTTTCTCCTTCCTCATTTCATACTTTTCTTCAAACTCAACTTGGCCTCTCAATACACTAAAAGAAACTCAAGGGAACATCAAGCATCATCTATAACATCATTCAACTGCGTCAAAACCATAAATTTTATGTAAGTTTTTCGAGTTTTCAGTAAATTTAGAGTTTTAGTGTAAATATGTATAAATCAATGATTAGGGTTAGAAATGTGTAGGAATCACGTGTAACATAGTTTAGACTTAGTGGATAACTTATTTGTTGGCTGAAATTCATGATCATATCATATTTTTGTCAAGTTGTATGTGGTACATTCGTCGTTGATGCAACTTTTGAGTTGCAGAACATTTCGAAGATGTATCTCCGAAATTGTTCAACGTTTCATATACTTTAGGAAATTTCGGAGATGCATCTCCAGAACTGTTCAATGTTTTAGTTTAATGTTGCTTCCGGAGATGCATCTCCAAAAATGTTCAATGTTTTAGTTTAATGGTGCTTCCGGAGATACATCTCCAAAACTTCCTTTAGTATGTTTTTTTTTAATTTCTTGCTTGTGTGTGTCATTTGTGTTCACTAATGATATACCTTACTTTACCTTACAGGCATAACGGCTGACAGAGTTGACAGACTGAGACATGGAAATGTTACTTAACACACATCTGTTCGGTGGGAGCGGAGCCAGCAGGTTCCGAAGACTCCAAGTACCTCTGCTCAGGCAGAGGCGTTGACTTTTGGGATGTTGCCTACTCCTAGGGCTCCTGTTTCACCCCAGCCCACTCCATCTTCTTCTTCCAGTAGGAAACGGGATTCACCATCTGACGCGTCACTTCCCTCATCCTCCCGCAGGCGCCAAGATTCACCTGTGCCACCTCATACGGATGATGCATTTGATCGAGTCCGACCACCCACTGATGATATTGATCCAGTGCCACCTCCCGAGGGTAAGGCTGCTGCGGATGCCGAGTCAGAGGCTTTTGGAGGAGGTCCATATGATTTTTCCTTACTTCCTCTATATCCGTACCAGTGTCAGACATATTTGGGACTGAGAGGTAACATTAGTTGGATTCTTTAAATTTTTATGCGTTAATTTTAGTTGCTAACATTGATAATTTTGTACATTGATTATTTCTGACATTGATTATTTTTGACAAACTTCAGAAGCGTGATCCCCGAAAGTTTCTTAATCACGGGAGAAAGATTGTTGTATTGCCTCAGTAGGAGGAGGATTGCTTTCTGATGCTTCTGTCCTTATCTGGCCTGAAGGACCTATGCATGACCGTTTACACTCTGGTCAACCACGGGATGCTTAATGCATTCGTGGAGAGATGGCACTCTGAGACCTCTCTGTTTTATCTCCCGCATTGTGAGATGTCTATCACACTGGACGATGTCTTGTGTTTGTTGCATCTTCAAATCAGGGGGGGAGATTCCTTGATCATGGGAGGATGGCTAGAGACGAGGCATTCTAGATGATGGTACAACATCTGGGGGTTTGATCCAGGGGATGCGATGGAGGGGTGGATAAGATCAGAGGTGCTCATGCTAGATTTGAGTTCTTGAGAAAGCTATATGTGGCGGAGATCGAGAAGGCACAGCAGGCACATGGTGATGTTGAGCAGGTGGCGGTACACATGACACATGCTTTGAGAGCATACTTTCTTTTTTAGGTTGGCACTTGCATTTTTGTGGACATGAGTGCCACTTATATTGACGTTGCCTACCTACGGTACTTCTTGGATCTACAGCGGATCCAAGAGTACAATTAGGGGCGGCTTGCCTGGTCTATCTTTATTCGAAGTTGAGATAGGGTTGTATGTGGAAGACGAAGTAGGTCACAGGCAGCGTTACACTACTGGTGGTAATAATTATTGATTCTTGAATGTTATTGTCATTTTCATTATTTATTTGCAAATCCATTACCGATGATTCGTGTATTCCAAACTTTTTCATTCAGGATTGGGTCATCAATCACTTCCCGCGCATTGTTGGTTGGGCGAGTGTGCATGCGTACACAGAGGATATGTCGCGTGCTGGTGCTTTTATCCGTTTAGAGGGAACCAGACGGTTGAGCCTTTTAGATTCTATCTTGACCATTTGGTTGCTGAGAATATGTACTTTAACAGCTACATGGATCACCGTCAGACGCGAACTTTTGACAAGATAGTGTTATACTCCTGATGGTTGGCATGTGGATCGCGTCTCACTGCTCTTCATTTGCTCGAGCGCGTCATGCGGCAGTTCGGATATATTCAAGTCATCCCCAAACACCCTGTTGTCTATGCTCTTCCTGCCTTGAGTCATAGATAGATATAAGAGATGTTTGATGATAATGTGAATCATCTAGTATCGAAGGAGACACGACCTACCATAACCCCGAACGATTGGAGTTACGTCGAAGGGTACATCAAATGGTTCTTCAGGGTGTCACATCTGTACATGGTGCGTGCTACTCCAGGAGATCCACCGAGATCAGCTCATCAAGAGATACTAGAGGATGAGTAGGTTCAGTTAGATAATATTGATGATGTCTTGCCTAGGTGTCGTCGCATTGTGGAGATTGCACAGACAGGCATCGACGAGGGTATCTTCCCTGATGGGTCTGGTGTCAGGCGAGTCCTAGATGCCATCATGACGGAGGCACAAGGGACATTGTTGTACTGGGGACATCATCGGGGGATGGGGGGATTGATTGCCGAGGAGGCAGAGCAGACAAATGAGGTAGATGAGATGTTGTCAGACACATACAATAGTAGTTTGTTATTATTTTGTTGTAGTATTATACTCTCTATTTTATTTTGATGTTTTTACTATATTTTGGATCTCAATTCTACGATATTTTCTACATATATTGCTATTTTATTTTCGACATGCCCAGTATTAGTCTCTTATTATTTTGTACTTCTATTTTTTTATTTTGGATCGTGCATTATACTTAATCTGAACACAAATACACAATTTATAATAAAAAATACATGTTCTGATACATTCTGAAGATACATCTCTAGAATATTTACAGAAATGCATCTCCGAAACAATTCAAATATAAATAGCTTCTTAGTTACATGTTTTGTATGTTTAAAATGGTTCTAAAAAGGTACATGTTAACAGTTATACAAAATAGTTGCGTCCAAAAATACATCTCCAAAATCTATGAACATTTAAATAACTTCATGTGGTGGCTAAGAATTATCTATGATGCACTAAGAAATTCTCTAATATATTATGCCAAACTCAATCTAACCCTACTATATACACCCTTCCAAATTGATACTTCACATATCTTTAAAAAAAAATTAATTCTTCACATGTTAGAAATTGATGTATGAATTACGGATTTTTCAACAAGGGTTTCTTTTTATTGGTGAAAATATCCTAGTTTGATTCCTCATTTCGGACAGGCTCTCAGATTAGGGTTTTGTTGTGTTTTTATGTGCTTTTTTGCAACCCTGTTGCACTTTAGTATACATGCTTTGTGCCCGTTTAACTTATTTTAATATGCTATCTTTGTCTTTTACAACAAAAGAAAATCACATTTTTATATTTAATTCTTAACTTGCATCCTTTAAGTCACATGCTAACAAAACTCATTATTTACACATAATAATAAGACAACTTTCAGCAAAATCAAATTCCAAGAAGTGACAATAGCAAAGGGCAACTGGGAAATATTTACAGTCAACTAACAATTAACATGTCATTGGCATTGCCAAAAAGAAAAACTACCATGATCAAAAGCTACTTTTCTTTTTCTTCAGGGAATTGATTTTTGAAGTAAAATTGATTGCTCACTATAAATCCAACAAGGATCACCATACATTCTTCAGCTTCTTCTTGGCCTCAAAGAATGAAGCAATATAGGAACGCTTGGTTTCGATTTCTTTCAACTCCTTCTCCAAGTCTTCAACCTGTTTTGTCAGCAACAAGAACAAAAATAAACAAAAATAAATCGTCAAAGAGCTTTTTCATAAGAATCAAACTTTATTCTTCAACTAAACTACTATTACCGTCTTTCTCAACTCTGCCTCTTTTTGTCTGTGCTCCTCACACCTGTAGAAAAGGGTTTTAGTGGAATTTATTTATCCACCAATAAAACTAGTAATAAGATTAATGGAGCATAAACCATTTAATTAATTAATGTGAAATTTTATTTACATCATATGGATGACATACATATCCAATATAACAGTGGACCTAATGAGAAAAACATCTAATCATTTGATCATAAACTATATATATGTACATCTATAAAAGATAATGGCTGCAATCAAGCGACCGTGAGATTAGAAAAATGATCATTTAACACAAGTTCGATGGAAAAAGTTGACAACAATTTCAATGGTTAATTTTGTTTAAAATATGTAAGTTAATTACATTCAATAGATGTAGGCATGGCAATAGAATCCGTATCCGCGAATACCCACTGTAACTCACTCTAAGATTGACGGAAAAAATCCGCTTTGACTAGGTTTGCGTCTGAGTTTGGATTTTTCCCGATTACAAAATACTCCCTCGTCCCAAATTATAAGTCACTTTGCCAAAAAAAATTGTCCCAAATTATAAGTCATCTTACATTCCCAATGCAATATTAATGATATTTTCCTCAATATACCATCAAGAATTTATTATTATTTATTCTTTTAACTCTTTTAATTTCTCTCATACATAATTTATCTTTTCCATAAAGTAATAATTAAGTTTCTTAATTCGTGTGAAATGGTCAAAACGTCTTATAATTTTGAACGGAGGAAGTATGATCAAGTGTTTTACATTCCTTACATTGAAGAAAAGGGTATAGCTTGTTGATAAACTTAACAAGGATTGAATAATAATTCTTCTGAAATATTTCACCTTGAAAAAGGAGTTACCTTGTGAAAAGTTTGATGTTTTCTTCACAGATTTCATCAATAGATCTGGACACTGAAGCTCCACTCGATATACCCTGTTGGTAAAAACAACGCATTAGTCATTGATAACGGGTTACAAGTTTTGAAAATCACTCTTCCTATTGTTTGTTAATGCTAAGACATTAGAAGAATTCATATGCAAATTGGAAGTGACTACTCCAGAGCATCATCAACATTTCTAATTTATATTCACAATAATATGCCTCTACTTGTGTCAAATAAATTATTTTAAAATATGATAAGAGAAAGAAACATATTTCACTTCACATCACATCCGGAAGCAAGAATGTTTATAGTTGGTAAAATTAGACAAGTATGGCCTATCAGCTACTTACATGCTGCTCATAAGTCGAACTTTGCTTGCCGGTTGCATGAAAACCCTCATTTGGCTGATCTAAATTCAAAACTTGTTGGTGCTTGGCTGTTGAGCAAATATCTTGTGGATCAACAACCTTTTGCACAATTTGTGGCCTGTAACCTATAGGCTGATATCCAAGTAACTCACAGTGACCCTTCCTGTATAGTCCAGAAAACATTTCACCAAATCAAACATCATCAACATCATAATATGGAAATTCTAGAAAAGAAATATCAGGAAGCGCTTATTTTTTCACATACTACAGTCCTTATTATTGGCTATTTCCCGTAAATTCTATGTTAGCAACAGTCCTCCAATTAAGAAGAATTGTGAAAACAGATAATTGATTGAAAATAAGATGGTAATTTTGTAGTCAATGTGAAAACAGAAAGTAAAAATAGAAAAGGCTTTTTCAAAGTAAACAGACCCTAAAGCAACATTTGCAACATTTTTCCAATAATATCATAGGCATAAACTGATTAGCCAACACAAGAACAGTCACTATGACTGCTTACAGAAATAAGCAAGTGAATTAAGAAAATATAGAAGAAAAATAATTCTAAAATGCATCATTAAGGAAACATTAGGCAACATCAACTACTACTAGTAATGAAGTACAACATTGAATTTACTACATCCCCCCTCACAAGAGCATAAAAATGTAATCATAGAGCAAAATAAAAGAAACGGTTCAGAATAAACTATGAAGTATAACAAACCAGTAATCATTTATCATTTGTTTCAGCTTCCCTTCTAGCCGTATGAACAGCAGTGATCTCTCAAAGTCTTGCTTGTCATGTGCAGGTTCTATAAAATTGGCTTCAAGAACTCCTAAATATGTACTGGTTAATTAGAAAACATGGATATTTTGAAATTCTTGCACAAAGAAATCAACAGGGGAGGATAAGAGCATACCAACAACACCATTCCCTTTAGATGAACCATCTGGGCTTACTTTCCAAAATGGCTGCATTCTCAAAAAAAGGTTAACCAGATTAGATCAGAATGGTACGCAAATAATATTAGCAAACAAATTCATATTCCAATTGTACTTCTTAACGGAACGTTGTAAACTTTCCCAAGCTTACCATGGTTCAATAACATTTCTGAACGATCAAAGTTTATTTGGTAAAACACTAAAAACCAGTGAAGCTAAAATAAAATAAAATAAATGAGATTTGTGAGCTGTAAGATCAAGAATACATTTTTTGGTCCAATAGGAATAGCGGTAAGATCAAACAGAACCTCTGAAGCATAGTGTTGGTCTACCAAATCAAGCCTGGTGAGATAAGGTCATACAATAGACAAGGCTGTGTTTGTTTTCACCAAGGAAGGGATAATACATATCCACCACCAATAAACAAAGGAAAAAACACTAAAGGTAAGGAATAACGACATGCACGCATGATGCAAAGAAGAAAGTTAACGATAATATGAAATGACATAAAGAGAAAGTTACAATTTTGATTTAGATTTATAACATTTTCTCGTAATGGGAGGGTCATACTCAAGAGGCGGGAATGAGAATTGGATTTGATGTCAAGTCTATACTATCCTCATTAGCAGCATGAGTATGTGAAAATTCCAAAGGCCTACAATGGTAAACTTCAAAAAGAAGAACATGAATGAGTGTTCCTTAATGGCTTGGGGTTATATTGGACGAACACTGAGTGAGACAGTTGGAATAGGATCAAGCACAGTAGGGGCAAGACCTCAAATATGAGCTCCATAGTTTAGAGGGGAGGTCCAAAAGCTTGAACAACCTCTAGAGGCAATATTGGCTAAGATGAGATAATGCTGTAACCAAAGGAGCATTATTGATAATCCTTTAGGGGTTGAGTGTAATCAAGAACGGCACACTTAAAGGATCAAGCACAAGGTTTATTGAGACTGTGTGACATCATGGATGGAATAGGTATAATGCAAAGTGATGCATTTGATTATCAAGGATAAAAGTGATGATGTCTCAATAGTTTGCATTTTTTAAAATTATTTTCAGTAGTTTTTAATATAATTTAATAAATCATGGAATTAAAAGTATGACAATTATTAAGTTCTGAAATTCAATAGTCAATTTGGTCATGTTAATATTTATGCTTTATAACCAGACAAATTCGTGCAGTATTTGTTTTTTTTTTTCAACTTTCCTGGTTGACTTAGAGACTTGGACCTACACTCCAAAAGTTATTGAGAATTGATACAAATGAGGAATGACTGTTGAAACCAAAAAATCAAGTCAGAAGTACTCATCAGTATGTGACGGAAACATTAGTGAATTGCTAAAAGCCTGTGTGCTATAGGCTGTTTGAGACACCGGGTTCCTGCCCGAATCTAACTGAAAACAGCGCAGGAGAATGTGCTTAGCGCATTTTGCTAACCACATGCGACGCGCAGTAGGCCATTTGAGGCCCCTTCTTTCTGCCAAAACTGAATAAAAGTTGGAGCATTGTGCCAGGATTAGCGGAATATGCTAATGGGAGTTAGAAAATGTCTTCTTAAGCACAAAACTCCAAAATTTTGAGGTATCGGACAAACATGACATATAGAGAGTGTTGAAGCATCTAGGAGCTGAATTAAGTGATTCAAACAACGTTGGACATTGCATCACTGCAATTTTATGTACAATCTATTTAATTATATTTTACCTTTTGTTTAATATTATGACTAGCTAAACCCTAATTGGTTAGGATGTAGATAAAGCTCTTTGAATCTACATGAACTATGTATATCATGAGTTCTATTTTATGCAATTGAATTCCTATAATTACTTGGTTAATCTTTTTGTGTACAACTTTTAATAATCTGACGAACTATAAAACAAACTTATGGTATTAATTCATTATTGAAAATAAGTTTTATCATCGAACATATAATAAGTATTCAATAAATGATTGCTATAGTATATGGAATCATCGGAATGTGCTACAGATAGTAGTGTTTTATCATATTTTAGATATCAATAGCCCGCCTATGAAATTAGGATTCCTCAGTTAAATCTAAAGAATTGGTCTTATTCTATATTACAACCTCTGTCTGAAATTATAAGCCACTTTGGAAAACAATATTGTCCCTGAAATTATAAGCCACTTTGGAAAACAATATTGTCCCGAATAATAAATTGCTTTACAATTTCAATGAAACATTAATATTTATTTTCCAATCATACCCCTTACTATTTATTGCTCTCAATTCTTTCTACTTTAAATTTCTCTTTCCAATGTCATTAATGACGGATAATTTAGATTATCTCATATTTTATCTTGCTCATACAAAATTAAATATGTTTCTTAATCCATGTGAATGACCAAAACATCATGGTACGGATGGAATACTAATTTATCGTGATCATAGGATATTTCTTTGTTATATTTAGGACCTTTATTACTAAATAGAGAAGAGGAGATTTGTAATCCCAACCATTTCCTTTATCATAACTTTTAATCAATCTTATTTCTCACTTCAAATTCAAAATAATTCTCAAACAAACCCCTCAATGTATTACCAGTATGATTACAATTGTTTAATTCTAAACTAATTACAATTCATGTGGATTCAAACTTTATATTATTCAAACGAAATTTGGTACACTTGCCAAATAAGTGTGTGATTTACTATAATGCAAGCACTGGCAACATCACTACTCCGAAAAGGAAAGGGTAGACATTTAGATACTATAAAATAAAAATATCCTGGCGATTTTGAAGAGGTTTTATATTTTATGTTTTCTAACCCCATGTTGTTGAAGAAGGTTGCATTACCTTAAAGTTCCAACGGGAGATTTTCTGGAAAAAAACACTCATTGAATAACAGCCCATATCTAAAGAAGGCACAGTACAGCTAGGAACATATCTAACCCCATGTTGTTGATGAAGATTGTATTACCTTAAAGTTCCAACAGGAAATTTTGTGGAAAACAAACCTCAAAATGTAAAATAACCCTAAAGAAGGCATAGTACAGCTAGGAACATAGACATCCAAACAAACTAAAGCAAATCAGGAGAACTGAAATAGACTATCAAGAATACGGATATGGAAACAGGTATGATTTCAAAGCTAATAAGACTCACAAGCCAAATGCTACTTCCAATGTACATGAACACATATATACACGAATTTTTTTTTTTATTTCCTCTCCAACTTCCAACATATATAAGAATGATGGTTTGCTGTATGAAAAAAGAAATCAAAATATACATACAAAATGCAGCTGAAGTAAGTAAAATTTGAGATAAGGCAATTCAAGCAATCAAAAGTTAGAAAATACCTTGATTAGGCGATTTTTGTGGTATACGTTAAACCCAGAAACATTAATAGCAGGAAACTCCTTTATAAACCCAATGGTCGTCTCCACCGTAGCCTAAATCGAACAGAAACTCTTTAGTTTGAAAGATAAACTATTTTCTTTATTAGTTAAATGTTTGCAGGGTGATAGGATACTAGACAAATAATTATTGTTTGTTATTCATAATAAAACACTATATCTTCTTCTGATACTGACACAAAAGAAAATCAGTAGAACAAAGAAAAAGATGCACTGAGTATGGAGTAAGAAGGGAGACAATGCAAATCTTGGAGGGTTTACTCCTCCCAATCCTTTATCACTCGAAATCATCTACTCTCTCCTCTCACTTATCCCCCTTTGTATCCCACTAATCAAATACTTTTTGCTTCCTCTCTCAGCTACCTTCTCAATTTCTACTTCTGCTGCATGAATATTCATCAGAATTCCCATATTTCCCTCCTTAGTCCTTACCCATGTGATACCTTTCTTCCCCATTCTCTCTTACACTAATGCTTAAAGAGACTTGGCCATTCCACTGGTTAACAAATCTGGATAATTGGACTTCAGTTGTCTCTCATAGAACAATCCTACTTCTGTGAGCTGAAATTCCTTAATTTAAGGGTATACATTGATTAAAACCTAATTACTCACAGATCTCTAGACTAATTGATGTACCTTCCTAAAATAACAATCAGATTCCCAATACTAATAACAATTCTATAATTCTTGATTTAACGTCTGGATCTAAAGATCCATACAAAAAGGTTTTTTATCATGCATATTTCTATTTAACTATTATTAAATGATTTTTCATTTATGAGTAATATCTAGCAACTTTCAACATAATGCTGCATAAAATTGCTTTAGATGATTTATATTGTCATATTATTGATCTAACCACATTTGCCGCAGCCAGCTGGGGCTTGTAACTAATAATTTCTGAATGTTTGAGCTCGTCCGTAATGTCAACATGGTCCACAGGTTTTCCCCTTAGTATGATTTGGAAGTTCGGAAATTTTCTGAGATACAAAAGTGAAACATATGCCTGAAAAATATTAACTGTAAATGAGAACAGAGATTAAAGATTAGAAATTAATGGTAACACGTATAGTTGAAATTCCAAGTATTAATCATTACCCGTAGAGAGTAACGGATGCGGTAAGAAATATGCGACTGAAGCTGAACAACTTTTTTGTTCAACTTCTGCCCATTTCCATGCTTCGCCTCATCTCTAAGCATGATATCCTGTGCAGAAGAGAAAATCAGATCATGATTGCAATAAAAATAAAATATTGAACAATATCAAGTATAGAAAATTTAGAGTAATAGCACCCCAAGCAGATACATACACCCCCAAACCACTCACTACCTTAGACATGTATGAACAATTCCAAACTAGCTAAATATGTGAACAGCACAGTTACCTCAAAGGCAAGTTATTTATTTTCTAGAATCCAGTATGACAGAATTAAAAAATTAGCCAAACCAGGCACTTGGTATCACTAACTTATTGCATGTACATAAATAACCAAGATGTGACAAGTACAGAAAATAAATGAAAGTGTAAAATCAGTACAACAAAGACTAAGTCGGTACCCAAAATCATCCCTTGCCACTCATTTCTTGAGATAAAGATATTAACCAAGAATGACAAGTACAGAAACTAAATGAAGGTGTAAAATCATTACAACATAAACTAAGTTGACACCCAAAATCATCCCTTGCAAGTTGCAACTCATTTCTTGGGATAAAGATATTAATGAAGACTAGTAAGGTCCCAAACAATCAGAAAAATAGGCAGGGAGGGACAACTAGGAACAACGTCCATATGCATTATCAACTTATCATTAACTGAAAAATAAAGAAACAGTACAAAAGTAAAAGCAGAAGAAAAGAATGTAAATAAAGAAAATGATATCTCCTCCCTATTGCTTTAGGCGCTCGGATTACCATATGATGGAATGCCTCGTGCAATCTTCTTCATCAAAAATGACGTAAATTAAAGAACTTCTTTTTAGTATAATCTGTGGAGCTCACTAAGTAAGCACTGTTCTGATAAACACTTCTAAAATAAGATTGATCTCTTTCAACTATATACTTATGAAAGCACTATGTAGAAATCAGTTGAGAATTAGGGTTTGGCTGAATTGCTTAAGGGATTAGCTCTCAGCGTGTTGTATTTATAATGAAAATATGTACAACCGTTCCGAAACTCCGGTTTGCACATCCTATGCTACGGGGACCCATTTCAACCGTTTGATGGGCAAACCACCACTGTCTCCGCCTTAATCACCCTCTCCAGCGACTTTTTGGACGAGTGACCATCACCATCGAATTTGTCTTAGCTAGATCCGCCTACCCCCCCGAGGCACGTCACCAGATGATTAACCATGCGCTCTCATGCACCGTTGTCTCCATCGAGTGTTGCAGCCTGTTTACAGACTGTTTCCAACGATTTTTTCTCGTTGCGCTCGCCTCTAAGCGATTCCAGAAACAAGGCTCTCCATATTCCATTCTGATCAATTTTGCTTCTGACTAACAGGTCGTGTTTCACTTCTATTTTGTTCCACTATTTTGCTGTCTTTCCAGCACTGTTTTGCTGCCCTTCGTTTTGCTGCCATTTGTTCTTACTTTAAATGGCTAGTTTTGGTTCTCGGAGATGATCATCTACATCCAAACCTCAAACCAAATGTAACTATTGTCATTGTTTGGGACATATTACTTTTCTGTGCTGGAAACTACATGATCTTACTCCACCTACTTGAATTGATTCAGCTGACACTATTTCAGACAACGGATCCTCCTAAGGTCTCGAATTGATTGATCCAACATTTTTTCAGACCCTGGGTCCTCCTAAGGCCTCTCTGACTACTTAGGAAGATTTTCCCTCGGTTGATAATGTTTCAACAGAACTCAGGATTTGTTGTTTCAGTTGCACACATTGGGAAATCATTTTCTTGTATCTACCAGTCACCATTTCTTTAGCTCAATATATTCTTGATTCAGGTGTCTCACAACATTACTAGTGATACTGTAATAAGGCTTTTTTCTCCTCTCTCACTACATCTGGTTCCTAGTCTTTCCAAATTATCAAGTTTGCAATGTGAGAAGAGTCAGTTAGGGAAACACACTCGTAATCATTTTTCCGATCGAGTCAATAAACGCGCTTCTTCTCCTTTGGCTTTAGTTCACTCTAATGTTTGGGCCCCTTCCCATACTATCTCCTCTTGAGTCTAAATATTGTTACTTTTAGTGATGATTTTTCCCTTTTCACATGCTTATTTTTAATGAAAAATAGATTTGAATTATTCTCTATTTTTAAGCAATTTTATCATGAAATTAAACTCAGGGGATTTCTATTTGGTCTTTGCGTAGTGATAATGCCAGAGAATAATTGTCCCATCAACTTCAAATTGTATTGCCTCTAATGGCCTTCAATAAAATATTATCTACAAATCATGTGGCATGGAGATCATGGAAGTGAAAAAACATCCCTCATTTTACAAGTCAATTTTGTACCAAGTTAGGTCCAATAAATATAAAAAACCTAATAGTATACTAATTAATTTGATTTTTTATTTTTATAATCTATTTGATTTGATTTAGAGCAAGAGTCGGGCTATTGTAGGCATGAAATTATACTAGCAGTAATACACCAGCTTCTCCCTAATTGTTAAGTATAAATAGGTACAAGTGCTTTGTAAATCAAACACACCGCACCGTACCAATATAATATTATCGAGAACTTTATTTTTTTTTCCTACTTCCTACCCAAACCTTGTAATAATTTCAATACGTATTAACCAAAATATATTTGAATATTTTCCTCATCCAATCAAGAATATCAGAAAATACTCTTACAGAAAACCTGCAAATGATAAAGTTCATATAGCAATAAATATATAAATATGCACAACATACCTCGGCATCATCATCAAAACTCAATTCATATATTCCTTCATCATTTAACCACAAATTATATATTAAAATCTTGGTTCCATGTGATCCTATATCCTCAAACTGAAAAGTGTAGAAAAATTGATCAGTAAAAGGAGTCCATATCTAACATTTCGAAGGAAAAAATGAGCTATCAATAGCACAATTACATTTCATTAATTGCATACTTCATTATAAGGTGATTCACATGCTAATGCTTTGGCCAGTGGCCCAACAGATACAATTTCATTATGTCAGCATAATACGAAAAGAAATTTAAATCGACCCCATAACGACAAGTAACTCTCAATTTATTTCTCATCGTAAAATGAAAAAGAAAATAAAAGGTTTGCTCTGAACCATAAACCTCGTGGACATGCATATGAATGGAATTCCCTGACTAGCATAAAGTCATTTAGTGTCACAGTCTATCATGCATCAGAAATCAATAGAAGAGGCTAATGTGAAACTTAGGCTAGAATTCAGTGAAAATGTTTGGAGCTTAACTCATCATGATTGAGGTTTCTATGTCACAACAGTTGATTAAGGATAACACTAGGTATTTTTCTTCTTGCACGTGATTTTTTAAGGGAGTTGGCCTGAGAGAAATATAGGGGGACTGAGAAACTCTGCAACATTCATATTTTCTATTTTCTTAGTTGTTTGGTATATGACATTTTGTTCAGGATATTCCTTATACTCCATCGCAATTTCTTTTCCTTGTCTTAATGAAACGCTTTAATCAAAAAATAGAAAGGTTGCATGTGGAGGAAACTCATAGATAAAGAATGAATGGGGCAAATATCTCGAGTGACACTTCTCAAGTGACATTTAATTTGGGCGTTGTGACTAATAAATTATTCATGCAACACTTCTAAAGCCTGAGCTCTTTTCTAGAGGCAAATATCTAGTAGAAATATTGCCAAAAGTGATCATGGACCCGTTTGTTTTGGCTTTTTTAAAAATGATTTTTATAGTGTAACATAATTTTGTGTAAGAAAAAAATTGCAAAGAAACTTTTCATAAAAGCTTCAAATGAAAATTTGGTTTGAATAGTTATTCTTAAAATGTTATTTTAGATATTTCATCATTTTATTAAAACTTTTTTTAGATATCAAAATTTAAAAAATCAGCTAATTTTGAAGCTATTTAAAATAGTTTTTCATAAAAATCATTTATGAGAAACAACTTTTTGAAAAAATTGCGATTTCAACTATGTTTCGATCTTCTAATCTTCGATAATGTATGGTTATGTTATATGATGTCAAAATTAGCATTTCAATTTAGAAAAAACGAATATAAAAAAACTTGTAATATTTTGAAAAACGATTTTATAAAATCCATCTTTTTAAAGCTGAAACAAACAGGTCTAATATACGTCCGAAAATTGATTTACATTATTTCGAAAAGGTAACCTTCCGTGGGTATTTTTATTTGATGAAAAGATTTTGTGGATAAACAATAGAATGCAATAAACCTGGAGCATGAGCTCGTCCTTGGATGCGAAGGGAGACCAATCAAGAATTGTTTTCAAGTTTGACGACCAGTCTTCCAGTGAGCCATAAACAATTGGCTCAGGCCAATGGCCAGATATGTCAAAATCTATCTGCAATGAAAATGGTACTTTGCATATAAAAATTAAGCAGTAGAAAGCATTCACTATTACATATTTGAACATTTGACTAGGAAATTACCATTGGAATGATTACATCATCTTGCCCGGTTTTTCGCAAAAAGGTATAGGATAGTAAACCTACACTTTGTGTTGATCGGCTGAAGGATAGAAGTTAACCATTTAAAAGGATTAAATCTTATCAACAATTATAAATTAAAAATTTTGTTTTAGAAGATATAAATTGGATACAATAAAAGGAAGTAGCCTGAACAGAAAATATGTTGTCAAGAATACTAACATCACTCTACACATAATACATCCATAATAAAACTAGAAATGCATATACAAAGAACTAAATACCTCAAGAAAACAAACCATACGCTACATATTTGCTGTTTCGTTTTTTTATTTCTATGCACCAATGATTGCAAAGTGCCTATCAAACTGGAGGGTAAATTTTATCGGACCCCTATAACACCAGCAATACGATCACAGAAATGTTAAGAAAAAAAATGGCAACAAGAGTTTTTGACAGTTAAGAGTACGCAAGATGAGAATGATGTGGTGGACGGGTGGCAAAGGCATACAAAAAAAAAATTGTGGAAGTGAACTATTAGGCAGAAAGTTGGATCAGCAGTAGTGTGGTGGTGGTGGTGGTGGGGTGGGGTGGGGGGTGTGGGGGGTTAGTGGACAATAGAGGTTAAGGAAACATGAAAGATGGGGTACAATCTTTGAGGATAGTGTTATCAATGGTGGAGAGCCAAAATCCCGCCATACAACCACTATACGGCGCAGTTATAACGGATTATGATTTATGGCGGAAAAACTGCAATATCGCCAGTACTTACTATTGCAGCAAGCCCAAAAACCGCCATGTATATCCGCCATAGTGTGCCATGGACAATATTTGATAACACTGTTGAGGATACATATTTATGTGCCATGTGCTACATCAAACTCTGCAGCATCTCAAGTACAAAAGATTCCTCATTTAGGGTTATTTGTTTCAAGTTATTTATTAAAGAGAGAAGTTAAGACGAAAGAAAGAAGAAAGAAATGGGGAATTTAGCTTGTTTGGTTCGTTTAAGAAAGAGAGAAGAGTGACCAAATTAGATGGGTCCCAGCAACCTTTATCTTACTTTGCTCCTATGCGAAAAGAGACAGCAAAGGAGTTTGGAACCCAAATTTATGTATATAATATTTTATACCCAAATTTATGTATATAATATTTTAATCGTTGAAGTATTTCTCTCTCCAAAATGGACCCTCGGGTTCTTGAGGGAATCCAAACTCCCTCCTGCAATGACACTCATTTTTTTTCCATTTCCATTTCCACACTTATCTTTTCCTTAAACCAAACAATACCTCAAATCTATTATATTTTTCTTTTCTTTCTCTCTTCTCATACTCTTTCTCGCTTCACAATTTTTTCTCACAACCAAATAGTATTAGAATCGTCTATTTCTATCACACAAGCTCCACAGACATAGGATGAGCCTTTTTTTGCGTCAATTTTGTATTACAACGAACAATGATGTCTTGCATGCCTAATGTTATTATTCTCTCGATTCTCGTTATTCAGCTCCAACTCCAATTTCTTCCCTGGCTGACTATGTACCAGCTGGACATTTCTGCTGACCTACCTATTGCACCCTAATTTAAACATTCTATTCTACTCTCCATTTCCATCCCACTTTTGATTTTTTGAGCTACCATTGATTATCTTTTTCCTCTTGTGCTTCTATTTTTTATTTGTCATCTATTAGCAATGATTGATGAGATTATTAGTCCAATAATACATGAACCCTTGTTCCAGCTCCTAAAAATATATGACTAGCTGTAGGTGGATGTTTACTATTAAAGTTGACCCTAAGACAGGTGGACTAATTGATGCACACCCCTAATTCACTATTGTGCCACTACACTCAAAGAATGAAGTACGTAAAATTCAATCACCCAAACCAATATATACAAAGAATAAAAACGTACCCCAAATGTGTAGCCCGGCTAAAAACAATAGCATCTGCACCAAGTCTCATAGTACTAGTCTTGAATCCATTTCCATCTAGAAGAAAACAACATATTCTTATACAATTGTGCAACCGCTGTTGCTTAAAGAAAGTAATAGAATAAATTCAGTTAGACACGTACACTGTCCAATTGTTGTCTTAGACTTCTTTGAAGAATAACCCAAGCTCATGCACTTCCGTAGTGAGTTGGGATCCATTCCACCACCATCATCTGCGTAGGAAACATAAGTTCATTTCCAACAACTAGCATATCAAGCCAACATAAATTACTATATTAGTAGATACTATGCATGTTTGAATAGCATACCTAGAAAGCCTAGCACCGGTGAATTATCCTTCTTGTTCTTAAGCTTGTCAACCTTCACAAAAGTCGCACCATTTTGGATCTAGTAATGCAAAGGAAAATTCAGTACATCTCTTACTCTACGAATACAGCCACTTCATAATAGCTTTTTTAAAAGTTTTGACATACTGGCAGGCCATCATCAGAGGTAAGTTTTGCAAGTTATTTTAGAGTTTTAAGCCAAGCAAATAAGAAACCAATATTGTTAATTCAACTAAATATATATTTATGGGCCACCCAAAATTAAAAAACTGTAAAAATATACGTTAAGATTCCATTTATACTATAACTGTTTTGCTAAAAGTAGAAGTGGGGTAGAATGTCTTGATATACTAAGACTCAAAGAGGGGTAGAATAGAAAGCTACCCATGGGATTACTTGAAGTATCCAACTCCAAGTATATCTCCCAGCAAGGAGGCTACTCAGCTAGCTCTCGCGTGCAACAGGAACACCTAGGGTGGAATGATCACCACTTGTGACTACTGGAGATTCAAAATTCAAACCAATGCACACAGACGACATAATATTTTAAGCCGATCCTTCATCACAAGTGTGTACTCGTGCAAGTTTTAAATGTCATAACATAATGCCAACTAAGAGAGCACTTACGCAAGCAACAAACAATCAACAATATTTTTCATGTTGATTAAGTATTATCTCGCTACCTAGAAAACAGAAAAAAAAATTGAGTTAAATCATACCTCATCAACAGCATTATCCACTAGCTCAGCAATTGCTGCAAACAATGAGAAATTTTGTCAACAGTTATCACAGAAGCATTATAAAAACAAGTCTTCATTCAACTTAAAAGAAATCACACCGCCAAACGCCCACTTATGAGAAGTGGCATTAGAATGAAGAAACTTAGGATGAACTCGCGCATGATCCAAGTGACCTAAAATTGCAATTAGGGAAAAATCAGTATACAAAAAAAAACAGCAATTAAATTTGAAAGTAAAAAGAAAAAACTGTAATGAGAAAGACCTTGACTGGGAGAAGGCTTAGAAGTAGGACCAACAACATAATCACCGGCTTTCCAGAAACTATGGCTTTCAGAGACTAACGGAGTTGAAGTTGATTGAGGAGGGTTTTGCTGAAGGGGTAAATGAAGGTCGCTCATTACAGCACTTGCGGAGGCGTCGTCATCGCTGTCGACGTCGATGGTGTTTTTCTCTGATTTGGGAACGACGGACATGGCAGACGAACGAAGTACAGTACAGTGGAAGTGAAAGTGGAAACTTCGACTCTGGAATTTGGCAGGGTTTACTTGCACGAGAAACGGGTGAATAGCTAGGTAGGGGTGAGCAGAACCCAAAGGTGAGACGTTGGATCGAACTTAGTGTTGTCGAAGTCTTTGCAAGTAATGTGTGTTGTAGTGAGTCAATATTGTTAGGGTTGTTAGCATGTTGAATTGGGTCTTGCTTGTAAGTCCAATTGTTTAATTTAGTTTGTATCCTAAGTTGGTTTGTAATGGGTAATTGTTAAAAAACTCATTAGGTTAGTATGCTATTTTTTTTATAAATAGGATGTTAGTTTCTCAATCTTGATATAAGGAAAAATAGGAATATAAAATCCTAATTTTAAGGGAGAGAGGTTATTTTGTTATTCTTGTATATTTGTAATCTTGTTCTAAGAGAAAGGAAAGAATAGCAGTTTAATAATCAATCCTTGTTGTTCCTTGTTGCTTTCTTCTTTATTAACCCTAACCCTTATGTTTCTTGATAAGAAACCGTTTATATTTTGTTTAAAGGTATCTGATTCACAACAAATTGGTGCGATGAGCGTGAAAAAGATGCCTTCAACAAAGTATGAGATTGAAAAGTTCACCGGAGTGAACGACTTCGGCCTGTGGCGCTTGAAGATGAAAGTCTTATTGGTTCAGCAGGGTTGTTTGGAAGCGTTGAAGGGTGAGGCAGCCATGGACACTGCGTTAACGACAAAAGAAAAGACGGGCATGATCGAGAAAGCCCACAACGCAATATTGTTGAGCCTTGGTGATAAGGTTCTTCGACAGGTATCAAAGGAGACTACAGCATCGGGATTATGGGTGAAACTTGAAAGTTTGTATATGACCAAATCTCTGGTGAATCGACTCTACCTGAAGCAAGCTTTATATTCATTCAAGATGAGTGAAGACAAAGTGTTGGTTGAGCAGTTGGATATGTTCAACAAGCTGATTCTTGATCTTGAAAATATTGATGTGAAGATCGATGATGAAGATCAAGCACTTTGCTATTGTGTGTTTTGCCTAGAACACATACTCACTTCAAAAAAACTCTCTTGTATGGAAGGGAGTCCCTGACCTTTGAAGAAGTTCAACCAGCCTTGTATTTTAAGGACTTGAACGAACGAAAGGAGCATAAACCTTTGACGGTGGGCAAAGGTTTGGCTGTTAAGGGGAAATTCTTGCGAAAGGATGGTAAGTTCGACAAGAAGAAAGGTAAAAGTCAACAGAAGTCTTATAGTGACGAAACATCTAGTATTTGATGTTATCATTGTAAGAAGGAGGGTCACATAAGAAAGGTGTGCCCTGAACGCCTGAAAGATCATGGAGGTAATGGCAATGCAGCCATTGTTCAAGATGACTTCGACTCATTTGATGTTCTTGTGGTTTCAAGTGGCGACTCGAGGAAAGAGTGGATTATGGATTCAGGTTACACTTGGCACATGACTCCAAACAGAGAATTGTTCGAGGAGTTATGTGATCAAGATGGTGGATCTGTGCTACTGGGAAACAATAAATATTGCAAAATTGCAGGTATTGGATCTGTGAGATTCAAGCTCCATGATGAGTCAATAAGGTTATTGACTGAAGTCAGGTACGTACCTGACTTGAAGAGAAATTTGATTTCTCTTGGTGAATTCGACAGAAAAGGATATGTTTTTCAAGGAGAGAAAAGTATCCTAAGAGTCATGAAGGGGTCGAAGGAAGTCTTGAGAGGCGTGAAGAAACAAGGTTTGTATACCCTTAAGGCTGAGGTTGTAAGTGGTTCGACAAATGTTGCATCCATGAAACTTATGTCGAAGACAGGATTATGGCACATGAGATTGGGCCATGTCAGCGAAAGAAGCCTGGTCGAATTGGGGAAGCAGAACCTGCTAGGAGGTGACAAAGTCGAAAAGTTGGAATTTTGTGAATCTTGTGTATTTGGTAAATTCTGCAGGGCGAAGTTTAACAAAGGCAAACAAAGAACACATGGATCTCTGGATTATATTCATGCTGATCTTTGGGGGCCTGCAAGGAATCCTTCACACTCAGGTGCAAGGTATTTATTATCCATCGTTGATGACTATTCCAGAAAGCTATGGGTATTCATTCAGAAGACGAAGGATGAAACTTTTGAGAATTGCAAAAGTTGGAAGATTCTGGTCGAAACTCAAACTGGCAGAAAGGTTAAGAGGTTGAGAACCGACAATGGCCTTGAATTCTGCAACGAAGCGTTCAACAGTTACTATGTTGAGTCTGGGATTGCAAGGCATAAGACTATAGCAGGTACTCCTCAACAAAATGGCTTAGCTGAAAGATTTAATCGAACAATCCTTGAAAGGGTTAGATGCATGTTGGTTAGTGCTGGATTGAAGAAGGTGTTTTGGGCGGAAGCTGTTTCGACAGCAACTTACCTGATAAATAGATGTCCCTCGACTGCCTTGGAAATGAAGACACCTGAAGAAGTTTGGTCGGGACATCCACCTAGTCTCGACAGACTGAGAGTATTTGGTTGTGTGGCATATGCTCATATTAGGCAAGACAAGGTCGAACCTAGAGCTCTGAAGTGCATGTTCATGGGATACCCCTGAAGGAGTCAAAGCTTATAGGCTATGGTGCCTAGAGCCAGGTCACAGAAGGTGTATCACCAGTCGAGATGTAGTTTTCAATGAAGCAGAGATGGCTTTCAAGAAAATTGATGATACTGACGAAGAACTGGAACAGGGAGAGATTCCTGTTGAGGTGGAGCATGTTGATGCTGAATTGCGTACCCCAGATGAAGTCGAAGAAGACACAAAAGATGTTGTCGAAGATGAGGAGACTGATAATGACTACCTGCTAGCAAGAGACAGGTCGAGGAGAGTCATCAAGCCACCTCAGAGACTTGGGTATGCAGATCTTATAGCTTATGCCTTAATCTCTGCTAGTGAGGTTCTAGATGAAGAACCCAGAGACTATAAGGAAGTTATGAGGAGTCGAAAGAAGACTGAATGGCTGAAGGCCATGGATGATGAGATAAAATCTCTTCATGATAAAAAACACCTGGGAACTGATCAAGAAACCTGCTGGAGTCAGGTTTGGTATGTCGAATTCAAAGCCTGTTGTAACTCCGACAAACCCTCAATTCAAGCTGAGTATAGATCAGTGTTCCAGCACTGATGTTGAAAGAACTTATATGAATAGCATTCCATATACTAACATAGTATGTTCTTTGATGTATGATATGGTTTGTACTAGACCCGACATAGCATATGCAGTAAGTCTTGTAAGCAGGTACATGGCTAATCTTGGAAAGGCTCACTGGCAAGCATTGAAGTGGATTTTAAGGTACATAAATGGATATCTGAATAGAGTCCTAATTTATGGTGGAGCCTTGGGTGAAGATAGTAAAGCAGCAATCGAAGGATATGTCGACTCTGATTATGCAGGTTGTATGGATTCTAGAAAATCTATCTCTGGATATGTGTTCACTATGTTTGGGACAACAATCAGTTGGAAAGCAACACTTCAGAAGGTCGTTGCCTTATCAACCACTGAAGCGGAGTATATTGCCCTAACTGAAGTTGTGAAGGAAGCATTGTGGCTTGAAGGTTTTGCAAAGGAGCTAAAACTTCAAGGTCGAGTTATCACTGTTAAATGTGATAGTCGAAATGCAATACACCTGTCGAAGAATGCAGCCTATCATGAGTGAACCAAGCACATTGATGTGAGGCTTCATTTCATCAGAGGGGTAATCGAGCGTGGAGAAGTCCAAGTGTTGAAGGTTTCGACAGATCATAATGTTGCTGATATGATCACCAAGATGTTGCCCAGTTGCAAGTTTTTCCACTGTATGCAGTTAATAAAGCTGCATGAAGAAAGCTAGTTTCTTAATGTTATAGAGTTAGATCCAAGGTGGAGATTTGTGAGACGTTGTATCGAACTCTAGTGTTGTCGAAGTCTGTTCACAAGTAATGCGTGTTGTAGTCGAAGTTTGTTCTAACATGCATTAGTTAATATTGTTAGGGTTGTTAGCATGTTGAATTGGGCCTTTATTGTATGCCCAATTATTTAAGTTAGCTTGTACCCTAAGTTGGCTTGTAATGGGTAATTGTTAAAAAGCCCATTAGATTAGTGTGCTATTTTTCTTATAAATAGGATGATAGTTTCTCAATCTTGATATAAGGAAAAATAGGAAGATAAAATCCTAATTTCAAGGGAGAGAGGTTATTTTGTTATTCTTGTATACTTGTAATATTGTTCTAAGAGAAAGGAAAGAATAACAGTTTAATAACCAATCCTTGTTGTTCCTTGTTGCTTTCTTCTTTATTAACTCTAACCCTTGTGTGTTTCTTGATAAGAAACCGTTTATACTTTGTTTAAAGGTATCCGATTCACAACAAATTGGTGCGGTGAGCGTGGAGAAAAAGCCTTCAACAAAGTATGAGATTGAAAAGTTCACCGGAGTGAAGGACTTCGGTATGTGGCACTTGAAGATGAAAGCCCTATTGGTTCAGCAGGGTTGTTTGGAAGCGTTGAAGGGTGAGGCAGCCATGGACGTTGTGTTAACGGCAAAAGAAAAGACGGGCATGATCGAGAAAGCCCACAGCGCAATATTGTTGAGCCTTGGTGATAAGGTTCTTCGACAGGTATCAAAAGAGACTACAACATCGGGATTATGGGTGAAACTTGAAAGTTTGTACATGACCAAATCTCTGTTGAATCGACTCTACCTGAAGCAAGCTTTATATTCATTCAAGATGAGTGAAGACAAAGTGTTGGCTGAGCAGTTGGATATGTTCAACAAGCTGATTCTTGATCTTGAAAATATTGATGTGAAGATCGATGATGAAGATCAAGCACTGTTGCTACTGTGTGTTTTGCCCAGAACACATGCTCACTTCAAAGAAACTCTCTTGTATGGAAGGGAGTCCCTGACCTTTGAAGAAGTTCAACCAGCCTTGTATTCTAAGGACTTGAACGAACGAAAGGAGCATAAACCTTCGACG